GGCGCCACATTCGGTGACCTGCCAGACTTCCGGATAGAATGCTTGGGACAAAACACCCTGAATGCCAACCAGCTGCCTCGGCTACCTGGACTCCGGGCCGGGCTCATAAGAGAAATTGCCCCTTTGGTGAACTTGGGCACCTTGTATCCCCTGCTCTTTGTTTCAGGGGAGGGGAGGAAGGACATTTTATTCTGGTGCACTGCATCTTCTCTGGCATTTAGCATGTCCATATCTTCTGGCAAACGTAGATGTATTCATGGCATCTCAGGCTCTGAGCAGGTGCTCGCTAAGCCCACTCCTATGCAGACTGTTCTGTTCTCGGTCCTGGGCAGAGGCCTTCCTGAAGACCACCTCCAGCCTGACAACTGGCTTACGGATGCGTCATTGCCATCGTCCCCTTTCAGGCTCCGAGTTGGCAAAATAGGAAGTTGGAAGTTTAAATACCAGCCTTTCCTCACCCTCATAAAATATCTGAGTGATAGTTTTATACTGTTATAAAGACTATATAAGGTGTAGTTTTATCCTTAAAAATATCCTTCAAGTTTTAGGTCATAGGTTTAATGAGGTACCTTTCCTAACCTCTTACTTTAGAATCTGAGCTATTTCTGTGGTTGTAGTGGGTTTACCAAGTTCCCAGGGAGCTAGTAAGTGCCTGTCACCCGAGGCCTGTCTTGGGGTGACGTGTGCTGTTTCCTTCCTCCCAGGTAGCAAGTTACATCAAAGAGCAAACTCAAGAGCAGTTTCAGATGATCGTCATCTCCCTGAAGGAGGAGTTCTACGCCAAGGCTGACGCCCTCATTGGCATCTACCCGGAGGTAACACACCCCCTGTCCGTCCGTCCGTCCCTCCTGGGACGAGCTGCTGCTGGAGTGCTGCAGGGAGGGCTCAGGCTTACACTGTTGTTTAAGGAAATAAGACTTAAAAGTAACTATTCGGGTTTTTCTATGACGGTACAGAGATTTAAGATCAGGAAAAGCAAATGGAAAATTACAGAATTTTCTTTATAAAGTATTATAGTACATATTTACACAAAGTAAGCTGTACTATTGTATTTCTGTAATGTTGGAAGGTTCTAGGCAAAAGCAAATGCACGTGGTAGAACTAACAAGGAACCATTCATCTTCCAAAAGTACCAGCGGGAAGAAACAGAAATTGACTGAAAGTTCCCAGTTGTACAGTAACTTTTAGAAAGTGAACCGATCTTTAAGCCATTCAAAATACGAGGTAATGGAGTGTTCCTGGTCATTCCACTTTTAGACAGTGAGTTGCTAAGATGAAAGTAGTTTCCCTTCCTGTGCCTGCAAATTGTTGGGGGACCCCCTGGAAACGGCTGCAGCGAGCAGTGAATTCCCACGCGGTCACGCGGTTTAAGGGAAACCATCTGAACATCCTGGGGCTCTGGCTGGGCCTGTGAGTCAGACTGGCCTTGTGGCTGAGGAGCCAAAGGGTGGCTAGCACTTGGCTCCTCTCCAGCCTTAGGCTGGCCTGAGGAAAGGGGGGGAGGGGGGAGACAGAGGTGGAAGGTGACCTGGAAAGTGTGGGAACAAACAAACCAGGTTTGCTCTGCAGATCACACAGGTGCCTTCCGTTAAGAGCAGGGAAGGATGAATGCAAAAAGGAAGACTTGTGGCCAGTGCTGAGGGCTTTTCCTACATCTCAGTAGCTCACAGTCCACATGCCACAGCCATGTTTTGGGCGGCACATCCTGATACCCTGTACCGGGTATTTCAGAGAATCAGCTAAGAAAACTGACAGCTTCGAGGTGGCCCTAAGTTTCCTTCTAAATGCAAATCCAGATTCACTACTGGCTCTTGTTTTAGGCTTAATAGCACCTTTTTTCTACACAGAAGGACTAACTTCTGACTGTCTGCTCTCCATTTCAGCAAGATGACTACATGTTCAGCCGAGTTCTGACGTTGGATCTTTCTCAGTATCCGGACACGGAAGGCGAAGAAGGCAGCAGGAGACAGCGCAAGTCCCGCTAGTGGCCGTGCCGGCGGCTGCCGGCTCGCAGAGCGAATGCGTTGGCTGTGGGCAGGTCATCACGCTCAGTTCTCCCGCTCATGTTCAAACTGTTGAGTGACCACCTTCTGGAGCCAGCCAGCCTGGGTGCCGTCTGAGAACGCTGGCCACTCACTGCCGGGAGGGGTGTTTGGGAAGGTTTCCTGGGAGAGTTAGCTTTGAACAATTTTAAAAAAGGTAGTTTTGTTTCCATAGTTTCAAGTTCCATTTTGAAACCCCGCCAGAAATATGTTGAATTCTATATCCTCTTCTCTCCGGTCTTGCCTTGTCCATTTAAGGAACATTTAAATGACAGTCTTGGTTTCTGAATTGCTAATTGTAAGGTGCTGAACCTGGGTTTTGAGAAATTTTTTCAGAGGAACTTTTGTCAGTATGAAAATATCAATAAAAATATTCTAATTTCGAATGTTTCCAATTTACAGTTTTATAAACAAAAAAAGTTTAAGGTGAAAATGAATGTCTGCTTCAATGCAATCTGCATTTTCCTAAATGTCATTTCTGTTAAGAAGGAAACGAACAACAGGCTTTCCACGTCAGAGCCTTGTTCCAGGCGGGACAGAAGGTGCAGCATTGTCAGCAGGACTGTTTCCATCGCAGGACGGAACAGCGTGTGGAGGGGCTGCAGGTCTGGTGGCGACTGCGTGGGCCCAGTGGCACCGGGAAGGAGCTCCGGGTGTAGCGGACTCGCTCCCGAACTGCACTCGCAGCGCATGTAAACGGGCGCGCTGCACCAGGGAGTCCCAGCCTCGCTCCCTGCTCAGAGGCCGCTCGGTCTCCCTGGTTCCTTGTTTCCTGCCGCAGTCTCACCTCAATCTCTGACTTCCCCTCCTTGAAAGACGTTGGCTTAACACTGGAATGTCCCCTCAGTGCCACCTCACCTGTCCCCTTCCTCTTCCCGGCTGCCTGTTCTCTCAGAACTCGGACTCGAGGCAGCTTCCTCGCGTTCCTGAACCACCTCTGTGCAAACCACAAGCAACAGGAACCAGTTGGAACGCCACACTCCAAAAACAAAACAGGAACCTGATCATAACAGCTGGTTTACACCCATTACCCGGTTAAGAACTACACAGACGTTACAGCACACGTGGCACTTGATCTTGAAAAAGCCCAGAAGTGGGCTTGTGTAGTGGGCGGCGCCGGGCCCAGGGGTGGAGGGGGTTGAGGCGCTGGCGGTGCCGGGCTGCGGGCTCACGGTGTCTGTTGGTCGGCGCAGCTCTGTCCCACTGGGCACAGCTCACCTACTCCACTACCAGGTCAGCAACCTCTCTATGGCGGAGAGACAGCAGTTCAGGCTTTGGTGAGGCAGCAAAGAGGCTATTGTGTAGGTGCCCGTATAACCACAAAATACCGCCATTTAAAAACGGCAGAGCATTGCAGCTGCAGTAACAACGGCGGATGTCCCCGACCTGGTTTCTCAGGGACAGAGCCTCATGCAGATCAGGTGTGCTCGAACTGTTCCCACTCCTGTCACCTTGCTTTCAGTCTGCGTCTTAAACAAGCGTTACGGCGGGGCTGGCTGCAGACTGCTCGCTCTTCACAGCAAGGCCTCCGCCCGGCGTGGCACTCGGCAGCGCTCGGAGCTGGTCCTGAGCAGCCTGCTACGCTTTCCGGCTTCCCTCCTCCCCGTCACTCTCCTGCTGTGACGTGGCCTTCACACACATCCGTCCCTGATCGCACACTGAGTCCTTAAAAACTCTGTCTGCTGTTAAACACTGAACACGTTCAAGTGCTCACTTGATTTCACAGTTGAGTGGCAGCTCACGGTAAGAATTCTCAGAAATAAAACAAGCCTCGTCGTCATGGAGAAAGGCTGAGCATGCAGAGCTGCAGTTAAAACTTCACGACCAGAGGAGCATAAACGATTGGCTTCCTGCTTGGAGAGCAGACAGGTCTGAAGCAGTGCAGCTTCTGCCCACACTTCCCACCTGACGTTTCTAGTTCCCGGTGCCTGCGGGAGCTCCAGCGCCATCCGTGGGGAGTGTCATGGTGCTTGGTGAGACGTCACATGAAAGTAGGCAGCCGCCAAAACACACCAACAGGGCCTTTGCCAGTCACAGAGCAGCCACCCACCACGCCCTCTGCCTGCCTGCCTGACGCTGTGCCCATCACGTGCCATGGGGGAGAATGCTGGGAGGGGAGACTTGGAAAGCTCGGGATACTCTAAGTTTAGAACGGCTCTGCTCCACTTGTAACTTCTCATCAGCCTCAAGGCGGGCTTGGACCACCCTGTACAGCACGGTTGACAGGGCCTTCTGCCCTGACGGGCTGCTCAGTGGTTAGTGCACCATCCCGTGCACCAGAAGCTTGCAGGTTCAGTCCCTATTAATTGCACTCACAGAAGGCAAATGGCTGTGCTCCCCACCTCCCTCGCGCTCTATAAAAAGGCCCTCTGGTTCTTCGCGATGATGCTCTAGTGCTCAGGGATAGACCTGCCGTTTTCTGGAACTAAGTCACTGAAACTACTGCGTTCCAAAGAAGCCCTTAGATCCAGTCATTCTGTTAAGACGTCACTCTCACTGGCAGATTCAACACCTCGAATATTCTTTACTATCAAACAACGTAACCAACATACCTTAAAAGTTTCTTCTATAGTAACATGTTTCCGCATAAAAATTACAAAATTTAAGAGTCTAGTTTCTCATTTTTCTTTGGCAACTACTGTTGCTTGCAGTCTCCACTGTCCCTTTATTAGAACAGCCACCGGACAGGGCGCCGGGGAGCCCGGAGACCAGGCACCTCCCTCCCGCCACCAGCTGAGGTAGTTGTCTGCCCGTCCTGGTGGAGGGTCCGAGGTGAGCGTTCACCCCGACAGTTAGACACACAGTGGGACTCCCCAGCTTCCGGCCGCATCCACAGGCTCTCGGGGGCAGGATGGCAGCGTGGGGCCGTGTGAGTTCTCGAACATTCCTCATCCCGGGCGGCACTGCGGTCACAGAAGGCTGGTTTTCAAGTTGCAGGTTTGGTTGGTTTTAAAGATTTCAAGATGTGTCAGCATCGTCTGTTTAAACAAAGAAAGGAATACAAGATGTGAGGTTCGGCTCAGAAAAGTATTTGCCGTCAGATTTCTATTTCAGAAAACTCAGTTTTTCTCATGTGCTGAAGACTCGGAAAACGCTTCCATCTTGGGGAGCAGTGGCCGCTGTCCAGAAGTGGCTGTGCGTCATGTACCACCAGGGCCCTGGGCTCTGGCGGAGCCGTGGAACCCGCCGGAACGTGCAGCTCCTCCCTTCTCAGGGCAGAGGCGGCGTCAGCACGCGTGATGGCGCCCCGCCTGCAGGACGGCCAGCAGCGCCGAGATGACCGTGGCCGCACCCCACGCAGGGCGGGGCCAGCCCACGAGACCGAGGCCTGTGGGGCCGAAGCCGCTGGGAAAGCAGGCGGTGAGCGCTGTGGCCCTGGGAACGGGGTGGCACCGACGCTGGACAGGAAACCTGGGCGCCTAAGACGGCGGTCACCCTTGGGTGGTGGTTGGGTGACTGACAGTGTGGGGAGAGGGGTCCCCACACTGCTGGGCCCGGATGGGGTAGGTGGTGGGTTCATCTTGTGAGCATTCACTGCTGACCTCACATGTTCTCTACGTGTTTTTCAGCAACACGCGAATGAGAATGAGCACCAGTGTCTGGAGGGGTCCCCGGGGCGGTGGAGTGACACGCATCTCCCCAGCGCCTGCCCGCCCACCAGCAGCATCCTGAGGGCGCCCCCGGCAAGCCGGTACCTGAGGGCCGGAGCTGTTTGGAAGCTTCGATGCCGTTCTCCTCCAGCTTCCTCTTGGCGCAGTCCTGGCAGCTGCCCCCTGAGAGGAGACGTCCGTTAGGAGCTCCCGGGCGCCCTCCGCCTCGGCCCGGCCAGGGGCGTCCAGGGGGCTCCACATTTCCAGGAGGCAGTGGGCTGGGTGGGAGGAAGCCGCATAACCATGTCCCTCACGCACACAGGGCATGCGCGGCCATTCCTGACCCGCCTTCCTTCCTGCACGGAGCCCACTCCTCGCAGGGCCTGGGTCTGGCTGCTGAGCCCAGTGGTAGGGAGGCCGCCCTGTTCCCAGTTCAAACACGTTAAATCGGCCATTTTCTACGAACGCTTAGAGCCTCTCCAGTTAAACTCTGAAGGGGCTGGGCCCATGACCACACCTCAGCCGAGGCCCTGAGCCGGCCATGGGACGGGGTGTCCTCGGGCCACATGCCACTACACTGCGCTCCAGGCACAGGGGGCGCTGTCCCCCTTCCCAGAGGCAGGCCTGTCCCGCCCCGCTGTGTCTTCTCGGCCAGTGTCACGTGAGGCCGTGCCTGATCTACAGCTCGCGGCGAGAAGACAGGAATGCGCCTTACCCAGCGTGGTGCTGTCCGCCCGGTCGGCATCTGGAAGAAAGGAAAACAGTCAGAGGCCGCACCACGTGCGCCCCTCCAGCTGGGGGGACGTGAGGCGGCTGCACGGCTTGGCCACCGCCAGCCCCAGGCCGGTGAGTGTCCTTCCTCCCCATCTCCCTGCGGGGGAGCGGGAGGCCCGGCTGTCATCACTGTGTGCCACCCTCCCCGGCCAGGGAGGCACCGCACCAGCGAGCACAGACCGCAAGGCCCGGGCGCTCTCCAGAGCCGAGTGCGTGCAGCGGTCCTGGTGCCCGGTGCCTGTGCGTGGGGAGGCGAGGCGGCGGGCAGGGGCAGAGGTGGCGAGCACACCGTCCCTCTCCAGAGCCAGCAGAGCCCTGCTCAGTCCAGGACTCCGTTCCAGCTTCAGAACGCCTGGGCCAGCCAGGCACATGGCTCACTCTGAGCTCGGCCACGCCTCCGGTCAGCTGCTGGCCGCATGGGGACTGTGAGCCAACAAGAAGTAGCGCCATGAATGTGCAACTCACAGCACGGCCACAGTGCAGCTCCCTGCTCCTCGGGAGGAAACCCACTCCCCAGCGGTCAGCTCCTCGGGCACAATGGCGACGCCCTCAGCGGCCCCCTTTGCGGGCTATCTATGGAAAGGGCTGGTGGGAACTCCGGTGCGCACTGTCGCCATAATCTTGGCATCTCCAGTCCCCACTGACAATTGTTCCACCTGCCACCGCCCCCGTGCTGTGCCCAAGGCCATGCGGTGCCCGAGTGTCCGTTACCCTCAGTGACAGTCGCTGTCACCCCTGACTTATAAGCTGCAGCTGCCTGTGCGAGCTGACCGAGTGAGAGTCGCTCGCTCCTCGGTCACTCCGGCATTGGGCGCTCCCAGGAGAAGGCCAAGGAGAGCCAGTTAAGGAGCCCGGGAAGGCTGACGGGAAAGGAACCGCCGTCCTGACCAGGCAGGTGGCAGCATCTGCGGACGTGGCCCCCGAAGCGTGGCACCTGCCCAAGCCGGTGTGCCGACTCCATGCACAGTCGGCTCCGCAGACTGCACTGTCACCCGGTCCTCCAGACTGAAGGGGACAGTTGGGGAAATTCTAAAGCTGGTGAATTTAACGACATGTAAAAGAAGAACTCAAAAGCCTCCATTATATTTGGGGCGTGTGGATTACGTCTGAGAAAAGGGCAGCGCGGCCGGCCCGGCTCCCGCGGAGAGAAGGCGGTACCTGGGCTGCGCTGCCGGCAGATCTGCGTGGCCAGGTCCTGCACGTAGCCCGGGAAGTGGTCGAAGCAGGCGCCGTAGGACACCACCTTGATGCCGTGCAGCAGCATGTCGGCCTGGTGCTTGAAGAAGAGGTCCTCGCTCTCCTTGAGCACCACCATGTAGTGCTCCAGCTCCACCTTGTTGGGCACCGAGTACAGGAAGAGCGCCTGGAAGATCTGGTCGCGCAGCGTCTCCCCGCAGCCCACGAACAGGAAGGACCGGGTGCGGTACAGGCTCTGGAACACCTCCTGCAGACAACGGGGCGAGCTCAGGAAGGCCCACCGCTGTGCCCCCAAATCATCCGCTTGGAGCCTCCCCTGGGCCCCTGAGGACGGACAGAGGCAGCCCCTCGCCAGGCCCCGGCAACATCCAGGGCACATGAGCCGAAGGTGGCACAGCCGGCGGCCCGCCCTGCCACCAATTCTGAGCTGAGCGCCCGCCGCTCAGTGCCCACTTTCTAAATCGCGCACAATTCCAACACACAATCCGGTCATGTCTGCACATGCCACACTGGAATTAACGTGTCTCGGTGGGTCACAGACAGACACTTTGGGGGCCAGGAGTTTGGGGAGTGAGGGCAGCAATGCTGAGGAGGGGCCAGAGCCAGTGGCACAGGGAGTGGGCACAGGGGAAGGAAGGCTGCACCGAGTCACTCGGGCCTGCAGGGGTCCAGGCCCAGTGTGGGCGGTGCAGGAGGCAGCCAACCAATGCTTCTCTCTCGATGTTTCTCTCTCTCTCCCTTCCTCTCTGAAATCAAGAATATATTTAAGCAAAAGGGAGGAAGGGAGGGAGGGAGAGTGGGAGGGAAGGAATGGAGAGAAGGGAGGGAGGGAAAGAGGGAGGGAATGGAGGGAAGGAGGGAGGGAAAGAAGGAAATGAAGGGAGGGAATGGAGGAAGGGAGGGAGGAAAGGAGGGAGGGAAGGAAGGGAGGGAGGGAAAGAAATGGAGGGAAGGGAGAGAAGGAAAGGAGGGAAGGGAGGGAGGGAGGGAGGGAGGGAGGGAGGGAGGGAGGGAGGGGAGGGGAGGGAGGGAGGGGAGGGAGAGAAGGGAAGGCGGAACAGTGGCCAGAGAAGAGCATCACAGACCCTGCAGGCCTGCACCGTCAATCCTGAGCAGTGTCGAGGACAGTGGGGGAGAAGGGGGGGGTCAGGGTGGGCCGCTGTAATGAGCCCTCATGGAGCCCCCCGAGCCTGTGCCGTGGCCGCCTGGCAGCCTGAGGTCCCGAAGGCAGGAAAGCTGGGCCGTACCATCACTTCCGGGTCTTGTGTGACGTCCTTGTACCCCGAGGGGTCCAGGACCATCCCGCATGGGTCCGTGTAGAGGCCATGGATGTGGAGGACGCCGTACTTGATGTGCCCTCGCGCCCACTGGAGGACCTGCCAGACACAGGGCGACAGGGAGAAGCTGGTGTCACTGGACGGCGTGAGGGAAGTGGCTCAGCTGGACCGTGGTCTCCCAACCCACTTGGAAGAGGGAGGTGTTCGCACTGACTGTACCTTCAAAGCCTGGAGCTACTCTGCTCCCTGTGCTTGTCACCTGCCCTCGCCTCAGAAAGCACCTCCCTGCCTCGTCACACAGGACTGACCGGGATGAGGCGCGGAGGCCTGGCTCTGTGGCCGGGACCTTTCCGTGCTGCTGACCCTGCCGCCCCCTCCCGAAAGAAGTGAACAGAGAAACGAGCACCAGCCGCGGCGAGTCCGCCCAGGGCTCCGAACAAGGTCCTCGACAGACCACGGCCTGCTCGCTCCAGCTATGCCGGGCTTTCTCCGCAGCAGGACTGCTGAAGACCCAGACAGACAGACAGACAGTAACCGCTCTGACCCAGCACGAGCCGATGGGCGGCCAATCTCCGCTGCCTGCCCTCATTCATCCCAGAGACACCGTGACACAGCGAGCAGGCCTCCTGGGGACCCGGTGGCTGGGACGCAGCAGGTGGTCTGTCCCGAGGGGCCAGGGCGCCGGGAGGCTGTGCAGCACACGGGGGCGGACAGCCTGTGCCCACCCCGGGTGCCCGGCCGCCCGGCCACCGTCTCAACCCAGCTGGGGGAGAAAGGCCCCCAAAGGGAAGCTCAGGCCTGACTGGGCCGAGACCTCCAGCTTCCTGAGCGCGGAGGGGCCCACCCTTCCCTCCCAAAGTGACCAGACAGCACAGCAGCCATCCTGGCCAAGCCACACTGGTGAGCCTGCGCACACGCCCAAGGACACGGCGTCCGGACAGGTCGCTGAATGGGCTACATTCAGCCTGCGTGACAGGAAACAAACATGCCACCTGCTCACCGGCCCGCGGGGGAGGGCATTCGCCTTGCTTCTGAGTAACTGGCATCGGCAAGATACGAGGGACAGAGCCAGGCGTCCCTCGGACGTTCGGTGGGTTTGGCCGCAGTGACACAGCGCCGCAGTAAAGGCTGGGGCCCTGCCTGCACCTGGTAAAGCGCAAACCTGCCCGGTGCAGGGAAGTGAGGTCTGCCTGCCCTCCGCGGAGAGCGTGGGATGGAGTCCGGTGACCTTGCGGAAAACCATTCCGTGACTTAGGTCACCTGTCTTAGCCTCGCCACACCCCGCGTGGCCAGCGTGCTCCGTGGTTAGTGGCGGCAGTTGATCCAAGGGTCTCGGGTTCCAGTCCCAGCCAAGGGTACATACCTGGCAGGTTCCCTCCCCACCCCTGGACAGGGCGCATGGGGGAGGCAACCCATTAATGGGTCTCCTCATATCGATGTTTCTCTCTCTCTGCCCCCACCCTCGTGCCTCTCTCTGAAAAACAATATAAAAAACCTTCAGGTGAGGATTAACCAAAAAGGTCATACCCTTTGACCCTGAACCTCTTCTAGGGACTTATGCTGAAGAAATAAACAGAGGCACAGTAGTACAGGATCGTCATTGCAGCATTATTTACCAGCGTGAAATACGCTATAGTGAGAGAGGAATGCAGCAATTATACTTTGGTTTTACAATTATATTGTCCTTCAAAGTCATGCTTTTAAAAACAGCTTAATGGAGTTCTGGTCAGGAGGGCAGAGAAGATAAACACTGCTCGCCTCCTCCCACAACCACATATAAATTACAGCTCAACTCTACAGCCGCAGCCGGAGAGCCACCTGCAGACTCGGTGAGCCAAGGATACAGAGCAGCCGCCATGGCGAGATCATGCCCCAAAGAAATATGACCCCAGAGGCAAAGAATTACTTAATTTACAAAATGTAAAAAGCCAATGACAGAGTATAACATTGAGGGGAGAAATCAGGATAACTTTATATATTGCAAGCCCCATTGGCGGGGTTTTTAAAACAAATTAACTGAAATTCACAGCAGTAGGCCTGCGCGCTTCTGCTTCCCTTAGCGACTTCCTGCGCCGATGAACGAATGAGGGAGACCTGTCAGCAGGACGGGCGGAGCCCTGGGGAGCGGCGTGCCAGGGGCCGGTGCACGGGCCAGGCCCAGCGAGCCGTCCCTGCAGAGGAGCGAGGCCTCCGCCACGGCGCTGACACCCGCTCCCCCGCCCCCGCGCCCAGCGGCCCGCTCACCTTCGCCTTGTCCTTCAGGTCCAGGGACTCCATGGGCCGGTTCTGCTGGCGCCCGAAGAGCTCCAGCAGGTTGTCGTAGTTGGTGGTGAGCACCATGGTGCCGCGGTCCATGAGGCTGAGGATGGGCTGCAGCACCTGCGGCCGCTGGAGGTGCTGCTCCAGGCTGTCGAAGATCTCCATCAGGCAGTCCTGGAAGAAGTTGGGCTTGGTGTCGCCCGTCCGCTGCGGAAAGGAGGGCCGGAGTCACCGCAGCATCCTCAGCCCAGAGCCCAGCCAGCAGCACTCCGGGAGAAGGAGGGACCCTGACCTCACAGTTAGATAATTTACAAGCACGTGACACTACATGCTCTGGGGCAGCTACGCTGGGGCACAGGGAGGTGGGCCGCAGGCTGGGGGGCATCTGGCAGAGGGGCCTCTGGAGAGACATCCCAGCGAGGGGAGCACACGCGCAGGCCCTGAGGTGGCAGCACAGGTGGGTCCACAGGTGAGCAAGGAGCCCGCACAGGAGGAGTGAGGGGCTGTCAGCAGGTGCGGTCAGCTGACCCAGAGCCAGACTGCGGGGGGCCTGGGAGACCAGGTAAAGAGCTCCTCTCAGAGCAGCCCACCCAGGGTCTAGAAATGGTGTCTCAATGGCCTCCTCGCTCAGGGGAGTCGGGGCGGCACACACAGTGGAGGACTCAACAGGACGAGGATGGCGCGTGGCCCTGGGGTGGCACCAAGGATGGCGTGGCCGTGACCGAGCTGCCGCAGCGGAGCCGGCGGAATGGGTGTGGGTGGGGGAGAAACGAGCAACTGATGGCAGGAAAGCAAACGAGGCCCGTGAAGGGCTGTGCTGTGGGCCAGGTAAGTGGGTGGGACCAGGAGGGTGCCCTCGCCAGCCACCCGCACAGGGCAGCCGCGGGCAACGGAGCGGGCTGTGCATGCGTACGGAACCCCTCTGCCCACCCTCTGCCTCTCTATCGCCTCCTGCTTCCGCTGTCCCTCAGAGTTCACCTGTCCCTCCCTCTGAGCCCGCTGAGGTCAGCTGTCAGACTCTCGGGTTATCTCCAGGGGTAGGGAGCGGCTGTAGGGTCAAGCCTCGGACTGACCTGAGGCAGGGCCCCAAACAAGTCCCAGCTGGAGGGCACAGCCCTCTTAGCATAAGCCAGCTTAATCTTATAGCTCTCCCAGTTCCTTGCTGGTCACTAACGGCTGTGGGAGGCGCAGCAGGTGCTGCCAAAGCAGGGTGAAATGTGACCATTCCCGTGTTTTGCTTTGTGTGCTTGACCATAAAATACAGCCTCGGCTTGCAGGCTGGGTCTGTGTCCTCACCCAGCACGGAGGTCCACCGGGCCCCCGCTGTGTTCTCGTCTGTCTGCTTTGATCCTTCCCGCCCCTCCTCAGGCTCACCCTTGCCCGTGCTGGCACGGCAATCTGGGCACTCCCCTGTCTGACCCCCTCCCCAGTTCTGATAAGCCTTCCACTATTCTGGGGGTCTGCCCTCACTGCGCCCCACACCTCCATCCTCACCGCCTTCCCCACTGGAAACAGGCTCTCCCACTCCCTGACCCAGGTCACTGCCACCTCCTGCTGTTCCTTCAGCTTGTGCCCAGGGATCCTCCGGCCCCAGGCCTCAACACACCTCCATCTCTCCTGCCATGAACTGGCCCATCCCACCATGGCCACCTCCCAGCTACCCTCTCCAGAACCTCTGCTCAGCCTCTCCCTCTGCCTGCCTGCTCCTAGCCCCGGCAGCTCCCAGGACGTCCAGCCCATCCAGACCTGCAGCCGGGCACCTGCCCCCACCGGCCTGTCTCTCCCTCTCGCCAGCCAGCTTCTCCAGGAGCAGCTCAGATCCCACATCACTACAACCACCTCCTGCAGGAGCTTCCACCCCCTGCCCTGGCAAACCCCAGCCCTGACTCCCAACTGACTCCCAACCGGCTGGAAACACAGCTCTGACAGGCGGCACTGTAACTCTTCACGAAGTTTTCAAAAGTGAAGGGAAGAGAAGAATAAAGCTCACTGCCCGGACTAAACCAGCAGCAGCCCGCCTGGCCTCGCCTCACATGCACTCTCCCTGGACGGCCCGGTCTGCCAGCAGCCCTGCTCCCTCTCAGTCCCCCCCTTCTGCCTACGACAGGCCCGGCCGCTGGCCCTAAGGACCAGAGGGACCATGCCGGCTCCACGGCCAGGCTCTGGGCCACGGCCGGGCTCTCCGCGCAGCATGGGGTCCCTGGAGCTGCGCTCAGACAGAAAGTGGAAGGGCCCCCCACCGGGACCTCGCTGCCCCTCATCACAGAACCCACATTCAGCAGACACTATTGGGAACACTCCCCGGATGCTGGGGAAATGGTCGTGGCCACATGACACTGGCCAGCATGGTGACAACAGAAGGGGTCTACGTGGCTTCCACGGCAGCCCTCCCACGCGCTGGAGTCACTGAAGCAGCAGGGACCCTGGCGTGGGGAGCAGCCCTGCAGCCGGGCTGCCCGCAGGTTTCCACGTGAGAAACCAGCAGTGAGCCCACTACGCCCGTGGCTGGGTCCCCTCCACAGCAGCCTCACGCTCCTGATGCCCCCTTCTCCTGTGCCGGGCCTTCTCCTCCTCGTCCTCCTCCTCCTTCTCCCCCTCCTCCTCTGACCCAGTTCCCAGATGACAGCTGTGCATCTCCAGAAACACGGGGTGAGGAGCGGAGCCTGCCTTGGCCCAGCAGCTAACCCGTGTGATGGTGACCTGGCCACACAGGTGAGCAGGGTGACCCCCACTCCTGCACGACCCCGACTCCGGCTACCACTCAGCACAGCCTCTTGCAGCACCCGGTGCTCTCTCCACAGATCCCGTCCACCTGCAGGCTCCACCTGACGTGCTTCTGGGAACCACCGTCACCGCAGACACGGCTGGCCAGCCCGGCCCAGAGCGCCTCAGGCCACCCCTCCCCTGCTAGACAGGAACCACAAGCTCCAGCCGCCGCAGCCGGCGACACCGACAGCTCCCGGCAGGGCCCACGCTGCCCGCACCCCTGCTCGGAGGCGGGATTCTGAGGGAGAGAGGCTCCTCAGCGCCGCTTCTGAGAGACACGCGGACTCACCACGTGGCCCCACCGCGTGGCCCGACCACGGCACCCAGGGCCCCTGCGCAGCGCTCACCGGCGACATCTTGCGGATGAGGTCGTGGGCGACGACCAGCAGGTCGCGGTCCTTCTTCACTTTCCTGCGGAACTGGGCGGCGTCCCCGGGATGCAGCACGTCCAGCTGCTCCGCCGTCTCGATGACGGCCTCCAGGCAGCCGCGCCAGGAGCACAGCGCGGGGATGCCGGGCGCCGCGGCCGCGCTGACGCCCGTGCCGATCACCAGCAGCAGCTCCTGCGGCTGTTTCTGGATGAGGCTCTTCAGGAACTTCCTGCTGAACCGAGGGAGGAGGAGAGCCGGCCTGAGAGGCGCCCGGCCAGCAGCGGTGCATCTGGGGAGACCCGCACGGTGCGTGGTCCTGTCGGCCCCGGCTGTGCTCAGGCACACGCACAAGCACACATGCATACACACACCAGCACACACATGTGCGTGCACACACTCATACACGCACAAGCACACAAACACACACACACAGGCATGTTTCCCCGTCTCCGCTGCTGCAACAGGAGGCACTGTTTTCTGTCTGTCTGTCCTTATTCCACAGAGGACTTGGGGACGGCAGCATCTTGTTCGAGTCCCAGGGTTAAGTGCCCATGTGAGTGACGTGTGTCTCTCAACAAAAAGCTCGGCCATTTTAATCCCCCGAAGCGGCAGAGCTCGTGAACAGTTACCACGAAACGATCCCTGCTCCCGCGCAGACAGAATTCCCAGCAAATCCCTCCAACAGGCAAACCTGGGTCTCGGGCAGACTGCTCCCTGAGGCCACAGTCTGTCTGCGGGGACCCCCTGACCTGCTGCTCCTGGGAGACCAGGTCTGGTCCCGTCCTGGGGCATCTCTGACGCTGGAGCGGAGGCCTGTACAGCCCCTGCGACTCCGTCCCTCACGGCTCCTCGCCTGCTGGTGACAGAGCCTCAAACCTGCACAGGTGGAGCCACTGTGCTTACCTGGACTTCTGTTCACTTTGGTGGGTGGTCTTTTCCAGTGAATCCATCTGTGAACCCTAAAGAGAGAAGGCAGTCAGAGCGGCTCCGGTTCCCAGGTGGACAAAGTGTCCAAAACTGTTTCTGTGGCACCTTGGCCAGTGTGGCCACATGGTTAGAGCACTGGCCTGCACACCACAGTGGCTCTGTTCGATTCCCGGTTGAGGGCATGGACCTGGGTTGCAGGTTTGATCCCCGGCCCCAGTTGTGGTACATGCAGGAGGCAAGCAGTCGATATGTCTCTCTCACATCGATGTTTCTTTCTCCACCCTCCCCACACACACACCCTTCCTCTCTCTCTCTTAAAAAATCAACAACAAAAAATTGTTTTTAGCCGAAACCGGTTTGGCTCAGTGGATAGAGTGTCGGCCTGCTGACTGAAGGATTCCAGTTCGATTCTGGTCAAGGGCATTATCTTGGTTGTGGGCACATCCCCAGTGTGGGGTGTGCAGGAGGCAGTCGATCGATGTTTCTCTCTCATCGATATTTCTAACTCTCTATCTCTCTCCCTTCCTTTCTGTAAAAAAAAAAAAAAAAAAAAAATCAATAAAACTTTTTTTAATTGTTTTTAAATTATGTTTTGATTCTCGGTCAGAGCACATACTTAGGTTATGGATTCGATCCAGAGTCAGGGTATGTATGGGAGGCAACCACTAGCTAGCTGTTTCTCTCTCACATCAATGTTTCTCTCTCCTCCCCCTTCTCTAAAATCAGTAAACACACACACACACACACACACACACACACACACACACACATCTTCAGGTGACTGAGTTTAAAAATAAAAGATTAATTAAAAAATAATGTCTCTAATTCTTTTCATTATCGTTCCACTGCTTTAGATCCTCCATATATTCATGGTTATGTGACACACTGAGAAACTGAACACTGCACTTAGCATCTGCCAAAAGGTGCGACAATGTAAACTGTGCCGGGCTGGATTCCCAGTTTCCCAAAAGAGCCGAGCCCCCAGCGGGCGAGCTTCCGGCGGCTGCAGGGCACGGCTCCCACCTCTTCCGGGGCCTGAGCTGGAGGCTGCAGCCGGCTCAGCTTGACTCTCAGACACGCACTGTCGTCACCGGAAGGCTCCGGGGCCCCGTGAAGCACCGTTATCCGCAGCTCAGCTCCGAACGGCCGGGCTGCCCATATTTAGGCATTAGGTCCGCAGCACAGGCCTTTAAAGACACGACCTCATTTCCTGTTCTCCCGCAGCACCATCGCCAGAGCCGCGTCTCCACAGAAAGCATCCAAACCTCTGGTTTGCAGGCCAAGGCCAAGCAGGAGACGCCCCCGCAATGGGCCGGACACTACAAGTTCGGGAAGCACAGCGAGCCGCGTGCTCCCATCCAGTGCTCTCGGCGGCGGATTCCGGATAACAGTCACAAAACCCTCCAGGGACTTTCCGAAGCTGCATCTTTTGGTTTCCTTGGTGATCCTCTTGTCACCACAGCTTGCAGGGCCAGAGCCAAGCATCATAGCAACCCCCTTTTCCCAAGAACCCAGTGGCCCTTTCCGGCAGCACCACGGCCGGCACAGATCGGCGTGAGCAGCTCCTGCCAGTGTCACTCAGACCAAATAAGTCTAACAGGGCGCCTCCTGCGTCACTGGTGAGGTTAGGAGTACTTGAGAACTAGCTTCCAAGCAGCCCAAGATCGCCTCACTCTTTGAATTCCCAGCCTCCAGCACTAAATAGATGCTCATCTAACCGAGCCCCAAAGCACAAGGGAGTAAACCACAAACCCCAGACTTGTCAGTAACAGCTGCAAAACACAGCCCCGCCCTCCGCACCCTAACCCAGTGCTCACCACTACCGCCTGGAAACCACACCCTGGTATGGGCCCCTCACCCAGACTAGGCTCGGTCAGGTGACCTCTGTGGCCAATGGGACATCAGCGAGGAAGCAAGAGTTTGGTAAGTGCTTTGCCCAGGTGTCAGCTTGGGCTCTGAAGGGCCGTGGGTTCGATTCCCAATCAAGGGCACGGGCCTGTTCAGAGCACATGCAGGAGGCAGGCAACCAACCACGGTGTCTCTCACATCAATGTGTCTCCCTCCCTCCCTTTCACTCTAAAAATGGAGAAATATCCTCGGGTGAGGATTACCACCACAAGTCTGATAAGCTCTCTGCCCTCCGGGGAGGGTGAGCCAGAGGTGACCCCCGGGACAGCCCACCCAGCCAGCCGAGGACAGAGCCCAGCAACCAGCCAGAGCCCGCGGAGTCGGACGCACTCACCACCCCGCTCCAACCCTGAGGCCTGGAAGGATGAGGAAGACAAGAGTGTCAAGCACACGCTAGTGACCCACGTGAGAAACACGTGCTGCTATCAGTATATGTGCTGCTCCCAGCAGACCCAACCCGGGAGTGTAATCGGTGACCTTCCCTCCTTAAAGGGGCCATGCCCATCAACTGGATGGACCACCAGGTCGGGAAGCCTGGAGCCATGGAGCAGGCACTTCCCAGCAGCACCTCCTCCCCAACTGACGCTGCAGGCCTTCACACCACGCCCATCCCTCGGCTGGATTCCCACAGACTGCCTCTCCGGGGGATCCATTCGGGAGGGGCCCCGGAAGGAGCAATCACTGACAAGCACGCTCTCAACCCCCAGAGCCGCCGTGACACTGTATGGCTTCAGGGCGTTGGGTTAGCAGGACTGGCTGCACCTGCGCTGGGAACAGGTGCTAACGGACCAGAGGAAGCTTCCAGAGCGGCCAGGGAGGCGGCATCTCCACGGAAGCAGCGGCCCACAGGGGAGAGAACACAGACAGGGCTGGGGTCGAGGACACCAGCAGGAAGCCTCTCTGAACCTGTTTCCCAATCTGTCAAATGGGAAGTCCACCGCGCACATCACTGACGCGGCGGGCAGACGTAGGGCTGAATGTAAACGTCCGCCTGCCCTCCGGCTGCTCCTCCCTCGGCTGCAGCCGCTTCCAACCCCAACGTCCAACTTCCGACGTCACCAGAACTGCTATTTCCTCGTTCACCCGCTTCAGGGAGGGAGGGGGAGCAAGAGGACATAGGGGGAATAAATGGAGGTGGAAAAAACAATTTTAAAAAATTTAACCACAGTTCTGGTAAAACGTAACTCCTTCACTTTACAGAAAACACAAAACCTTAATTTGAACCCTGTCACTGAGTGATGAATTATGATTTGGAGGGGGAGGGGAGTGTTCATTTTGTAATAACCGAAATGTGCTCACTTGCTTCTGGAAACCAGTGCCTCCAGAGTGGCTTGGGCATAAATGCTCACACCAAGAAAATAACAAAATGATGAGTAAAAAAATGTAAAGGTCACGGCTCAGTTCAAAAGGCGACATTGCTATGGCACGTGGCGCCTTATGGGAGGGAAGAAAAGGCACTGAGCAGGTTACAGCCTCCCTCCTCCCCCCCCCTCCTGACCTGGGAGTGCTCACCGGGCTGGCACCCAGCCCTGAGGCCGACCACGCGGGAGCCGCCACGCCGCTCTCCGGTGCAGTGCGGGCAGACTGGCACACAAAGCCGTGGCGTTCACCAGGCGCCCTGCCAGGCGGTAGATCATTAACCGCTCACAGCCTGTCCACCGGCTCTGCCCGCACAGTTCAAACAGACGCGTTCCGGAGCGATAAGCCAATGAGGGTCAAACACAGCAATTCAGGCACTCAGCCGCCTGGGAACAGCACCCTCCGACCCAACCTACAGGGGCGTGTCCCGGGGCCCGAGGGTCCTCGAGGTGATGGGCGCCAACTGCCCTCATTCAACAGAGGGGACGCTGGTGCCCCAGGAGTCAGGCCGCTCGCTCCTGGTCCGCCACCTGCCACCAGGCTGGCACGCATCCGGGTCCACAGCGCCTTCCACACCCACCGCGGCCCCCGCCCGCGTTTCCCACCACGCTGCCCCACAGACAGCTCCGGGGACCGTCACCTTGCAGCTCGCTCGCAGTCTGGCTGCACTGGGTTCCACCCGCTGCCGAACCCATTCACTCTCCAGCCTGAGCGAAGCCGGGGATGGCAGAGGGGGAGGCGTCGGCCAGTTTTCCATTTGCTCTTTGCCTTTGCCAGCGCCTCAGCAGGGGGCAACTGAGGGGGCGGGCAGGAGTAATGCCGCTCAGGGCTGCTGGGCAGGAAGTGGGGTCTCCTTGAAAGAGCCCGGCCTTAGGAGCTCAACGAGCCGGACACCCCGGCCCTCCCCGAGGACCTGGCTCCTTTACGAGCACAAAAGCAACAGTACCTGCCCCTGCCAGGAGGATTGCAGACACGAGGAGGGGACGTTTAAAAGAACAAGACGAGAGCAGCCTGCTTCCCCCAAGCCCTTTGCATCTGAGAATTCCGTTCCCAGCCACGCTGGTCACATTTCACCCGTGAGAGCCTCTCGGAGCGCAGACCCGGCCCTGCATCAGCTCCCTCTCCGGGAGCACTCCCGTGAGCACCCCACTCTCCCTCCCTCCCCGCGGCCTCTGCAACCGGAGTCTCCCTGCCCCACATCCTGCCGTGCTCCCGGCCCCACCAGCTGTCCCTCAGCCCTCGGTCCCTCTGCCTCCGGAGTGACGTCCCAGACCCTCCGGGACTTTCCAAGCGGCCCGCAGAGCCTCAGGACCCTGCCCTGCGGCACCTGCACCTCCTGTGTGGGGTCACCCTGGACGGCCCTTTGGCATAACCACAACCGGGTGAAAGCTCCGGTGGCAGTGCCAGAGCTCGGCGGGCGCAGGCAGGAGAGAACGCACCCTCTCGGCTCCGGACTTGACGCTTAGCTGTGCCTTGAAGCCCAGGCCCCGCTGCCACCGCCCAGGTCACTGCCACCTGCCCAGGTCACAGCCACCTCTCCCAGGGCCTGCTCCCTCCGACCATCCCCTGCACCCAGACAGAAACACCAGCACCGCCCTGGCCTACGGGGCTCAGTGGCCAGAGGGCCGGCCTGCGGGCTGAAGGGCCCGGTGCAGGCTGGTCCCCGGCCCTGGTTGGGGTGCGTCCGGGAGACAACCAATGGATGTGTCTCTCTCACTTAAATGTTTCTCTCTGTCCCCCACCCCCCACCCCCACC